AAAACAAAAACAAAAAACAGATGTAGCTCAGCAGTTACCCCCACACCAAAAGATTTGGCTGCTATGTTAAAACAAATATTTGTATGTTGGTGTTTGGCCGGGAAAGTGATAAGAATCAGATAAAAACATTAAAAAACTCAATCCAGCCAGGCATGGTGGTGCAAACCTACAATCTCAGCAATTGCAGACGACTTGGCAGGAGGGTTAAAGATTTGAAGCCGGCCTCACCAACTTAGCAAGACCTTGTCTTGAAATAAAAAATAAAAAGGGGTGTGGATGTATCCTCAATGGTAAAGTGCCCTTGGGTTCACTGGGGGAAATAATTCAATATTTGGAGCATAATATGTAGCTCAATGGTACAGTGCTTAGTGCTGGCTGGGCAAGGACCTGGGTTTGATCCCCAGGATCACACATACTATTTCAAGAACTTACAAGATCAGAATTTTGTCTTAATGATTTATAAAAGCATCTCTGACCAGACTGTGAGATCATGAAAATATCTCCACTAGATAGCTCTGTTAAAAGGATAGCCCTTTTGGGCTGGGGCTGAGTGATAGCATGCTTGCTTCGATTCTCAGCACCACATACAAATAAATAAAAATAAAGGTCCATCAACAACTGAAAAAAAAAAAAAAAAAGACCTTTCCTGTAACTCCTGGGGAAGGAGGACAGGCAATTCATTTCCTTTGCCAGTTGATCTTCTGAATTACTCCAAGGCATAATTCTCAACATGAGTGCTCCAAGTAGTTTGAGCCTACCAAAACCAAAAGTTGGGTGTCTATTGTCTTCACTTCCATTCTTCCTCCATCATCCACTCTCCACCATCCTACACCAGTAAAGTGCAGATTCAAGAAAGGAATGTTTTCTGTCTCATTGACCTTGGTTTTACCAGCACCTGGAACACTCAGCACTGTTGGCTTTCAGCTAAATGTTAACACTGAACATGGAACAGACATATTAAGTTACTAAGGGTTAATGGAGATATTTTCCAGGCTGAGACAACTAGGGGGATTCTACGGGAATCCTCGTCACTAGGATGCTGTCAGACATTCTACAATGTACAGGACAGGCTCCCCAAACAAAGATCCAACCCAAATGCCAGTAGATGCTACAGTTGAGACAGCTTGCCTTAGGGGAAACTGGGGGAAAAAGACAAAAGCATTGATTCAGACAAGACTTTATTTATTGGGGGAGGGTACTGGGGATTGAATTTAGGGATGCTTTACCACTATCTATCCCCAATACACCCCCCCTTTAAAAAAAAAAAAAAGGTAGCTTATCTTACCTAAAAGTACAAATCCTGGAGCCCTGCTCTGGGTAGGTTGGATCCCATCCATGAAAGGTGTTTGGAACTATCTGTCCACTGGTCTGGATTTGGGTAACAGACTTCTGTCAGGGGCCATGACTGGGTTAGAAGGTACCAAGAAGATCAATGCCAGCCACACCCCCTCAGTCAAGGCATTGTGGGAAGAGAGACCTATCTGGGCTGGTGGGATCATGTTTTCCAGGTAAGGTGTGAATTTTCACGAGTTCTATGCCATAAGGAATGGAGGCCCAAGGAGGACCTGAATCCCCAAGATGTATCTGTTGTAAGACTGAGGCTCCCTTCATAAATGCACCACGGGGCACCAGCCACAGGGGCATCAGAAGGCAGATCATGGTACTGGTCATCTGCATTTCCAGAACTTGGTGGACCATCATTTGCAGCAGTTATGGGTAAGGGGATCTCCTCCTTCATGATCCAAGCCTCCTGAGTTCACCTCCTCAGGCTTTAAAAAAAAAAATACATATATACATATATGTATATGTGTGTGTGTGTGTGTATACAGTTTTAAGACAGTCTCACCAAGCTGCAGATTGGCCTTGAGCTTGTAAACCCCCTGATTCAGCTTCCTCATTGATGGGATTATAGGTGAGTGCCCAGCTCAGTAAAGATTTTGGTTTAAGTGTTTGAAAGAAGAAAAAGAGTCTGTGGTGGCCCCCAACATGACATCACATCCCATGTGGCTTTAGGAAGTCTTTTGTGTGAACTTTATCACCAGTGCTGGGGGAAGAATAAATTAGGCTTCAGTATCTGAAGAGCAAAAAGCAACAGAATTCCAACAAATTAGAACACATTTTCAACAAACACATACCCCCCTATAGTTCTAGCACTCAGAAGGCTGAGGCAGGAGGATCTCAAGTTCAAGGCCAGCCAGGGCAACTTAACTAGGGCCTGTCTCAGAACAAAATAAGGAAGGACTGGGGATGTACCTCAGTGGTTTTACAGTGCTTACCTAGCATGCATAAAGCCCAGTGTTCACTCTTTAGGGCTGCCAAAACAATAATTATAACATTATAATATATTATCACCCAGGATAATAATATGACAATAATTATTATACAATAATCATATATAATTATATATAAATAATGATTATATAATAATCATTATTCTGGAAGAATATTAAGCAGAAGACTTTAATACACATCATAGAAGATTTTATAAAAGGCCAAAGAATCTGGCAAAAATCATCAGTTTCAGCAGTATTTGAAGAAATGCAATTTGAAACAATATTCCATCCAATGGGCAGGGCTTACAGAATGACAACAGCCACAATTGATTAGGGTAGGAAAAAAACTGCAGTCCAAATAGGTATAAATACTTGGTAGAATTTTAAACCATTGCTTTTCTTTATATTTTTCAATGTCTCCATTAAAAAATAACAAGCTTTTAACTTTATGTCATGATGCTATTGTCATTTGGATCACACATGTACATCTTTATATTTACATATACACATATATAATCACAATTAAATGTTCTTATACCTGCCCTTGTTCAGGGCTATATCTTTTTGCTACCATCTTTCCTCCATTTCAAACTACAATCAGATCCCCCTAAAAGTGACATCGTTTCCTTGATTGAAATCTTTCATTGGATCCCATTATCATAAGTGCAAGCTCCTCAGCATATGGTCAAGGCCTCCAAGATCTGAAGACCCTCCGTTTCAAGTTCTATATAACGCATTCTATACAATGTGCTTGTGGTATTTTGTAGCTATCTGCTTTGCTTCTTTACTGATTAGTTTGCCAAGAATTCCTAAAACCTACCACCCAAGTGTATCCTCTGACTCAGTGTTCCTATAGTTATCTTTTCTTCCTTTTTGTTTTTTTAAAGAGAGAGAGAGAGAGAGAATTTTTTTAATATTTATTTTTTAGTTCTCGACGGATACAACATCTTTGTTGGTATATGGTGCTGAGGATCGAACCCGGGCCGCACACATGCCAGGCGAGCGTGCTACCACTTGAGCCACATCCCCAGCCCAGTTATCTTTTCTTCAGTACCAGACACTGAATTTAGGAGTATTCTACCACTGAGCTTCATTCCCCAGCCTGTTTTGAGACAAGGTGTCAAGAAGTCGCTGAGACTGGCCTCCAACTTGTGATCCTCCTGCCTCAGCCTGCCCAGTAGCTGGGATTACAGGCCTGTGCCACTGTACCCAGCTGTGCACCTATATCCAGGGCTTACTGCAATTATTGCATTTAGAAGAGCCTAGAAATCATTACCTTCTTTAGAATGTAAACTGCAGGCCAGGTTTTAATTTTTTATATCCACAATGCTAGCACAAAACTAGTCTGATGAATAGAATCCCTAACATTTATATTGTTTTGTCCATTTTCCCATTCTGCTATTACTGAGACTTACTTTCGTTTATTGTTTGAAATGTTCCTGAGTTTAGAAAAGTGCTAGTGATTATACAGATATCATATCAGACCCGAGCATCCCAACTTTATCATACCTTTCCCTGTAAACCCATGTTCATCGAGTACATCTCAGAAACTGAATACATCCAAACTGCATTTTAAAATAAATATTATATCTTTAAAATTACTGATGGGAGCTAGGCATAGTGACATGCATCTGTAATCCCAGCAATTTAGGAGACCAAGATAGAAGGTGACAAGCTCGAGTCTCGCCTGGGTGACAATGAGACTCTGCCCCAAAATAAATAAAAAAGGCTGGGAATGTGTTCAGTGGGGTACACCACTGCCCCCCTCCTCCCATACTGAGGATGGAACCTGGGGTGCTTTACCACTGAGCTACATACCCAGTCCTTTTTATTTATTTTGAGAAAGGGTCTCACTAAGTTGTCTGGCCTTTAGATTATGATCCTCCTGCCTCAGGTGTCTGAATCTCGGGGATTATGGGTGTGTGTCACCAAGCCTGGCTCAAAACCACTGGTGTTTTAAGGAAAACAACTGGATGCAAAGGTTATAGGCTCTTCCAAAATGTAGAAACAATTTTCCAGAGAAAGCAACAGCTTTGAGACACCTATTAAAAAGAAAAGAAAGGAAGAGGGAGGGAATTTAAATTTTTTTTTTTTTTTTTTTTTTTTTTAGTATTGGACCCAGGGGTGCTTAACCATTGAGCTACATCCCCAGCCCTTTTTATATTTTATTTAGAAACAGGGTCTCATTGAGTTGCTCAGGACTCTAAGTTGCTGAGGCTAGCTTTGAATTCACAATCCTTCTGCTTCAGTGTCCTGAGCTGCTAGGATTACAGGCATGGGCCATCACACCTGGCTGGGAATTTAGAATCTAAATTTTAAAATACAATTTGGCTTCAGTTTGTGAATGTCACTATTTTGAGGATTCAACTGTATTTACCTGCAGGTGACACATAATCATACTTAGTAGAAAAATTTTAGATGCCCCAGCAATGGCTGTATCTAAAGGAAACAGGTATCTGCTCTCATATGTAACAGATCCAATGAACACATTCCTCGTATCTGATCATCCAAAACATTCCTATAAAGCTATGGATAGCTGTCAAGTCACAGTATTCATCTACTGACTACACATAATCACTGCATAATCACAAATATCTCCTCCCCCCATACTGAGCCTTCAACAACAAAAAAAATCGAAGGCAGCATGTAGAGGTACTGAGAGCAAATTGATAAATTAAAGGGGTGTGTTAGGAAGAATGGAAAAATAATTTCATTTACTCACAAAAATACTTTTTATATCAAGAACTAGGTATGTTTAGTATCTGTATAGAAACTGATATGACATTTTATTCCCATCACAATTTTTACATATAATCCAAGTCTAAATAAAGTGCTTTTTTTCTATTTATACAGATTTAAAATCATAGAAGGTTCCATTTCTATACTGAAATTAGTGACCCAATGAAAGGATAATTAGTACATAAATACATGGCAGCTTCTTGAAGAAGAGCAAAAATAAAGTGAAAGACATAAATCCTTTAAATTTTTCAGCTTTTGCCAATGGAAGGTACTACCAAGGTAACAGGTATTGCTGGTTGGGCTCACACTGGTCCAGGTAATTTTCCTATCTTGTTTCAGAAGAACAGAACAATGTAGAATTTGTATTGTTGATCACCCAGTGAGGCCTTGGTCCTACAGAGAAGAAATTCTCTACAAAAGCTGCCTGGGGGCTGGGGGTGCAGCTCAGTGGGAGAGTGCTTGCCTGGGGGGATGAAAAAAGAGGATGTGACGTCAGTTGTTATTCAATATCACATGAACATATAAAATACACAATAAGGGTCTGCAGAGAAAAAACATTAACCATAAGAAATAATGACTCCTTTCATCAGCTTAAGAGTTGGAAGAACTTGTGGGGTGTGGTGGTGCACACCTGTAATACCAGTGCCTTAGGAGGCTAAGGCAGGAGGATTACAAGGCCAGCCTCAGCAACTTCATACTACCCTGTCTCAAAATTTAAAATAAAATAAGACTGGGGACATAGCCTATTGGTAAAGTACCCGAGTTTAATCCCCAGTACTTTCCCACTCCACAAAAGAAAGAACTTATTTAAAATCCCTGTTTAAAATAAATTATGTCAGTTTTACTTTACAAATAGCTATATTATCACAGGGCTTTTTTGGGGGGGGGAGCAGTGAGGGTGTTGCTGTGGATTGAACCAGGGGCTTGTGCATGCTAAACACATATCCTACTACTGAGCTACATCCCCAGCTATTAGAGGGATCTAATATCACGTAGAAAAACTGTTGGCCATGGGATAATTGAACTGTACCCTTCGATCCTAGGAAAAACCAAGAAGTTCAATTATTTAAAAATGTACAAAACAGACATTCTTCTCAAGTTAGCAAAGTACTTCTACAAAGTACCTTTCAAATGATCCATAAGCCCCATCTACTAAACAGCCACACAGGTGAGAACCAAGTTCAAGTTTCCAACACGCTACACAATGTTTTTCAGCAAGGCCTGTGGTTCCCTATGGCAGCAGGACAGATAGTCCTTCAGTCTGAGGTTGCTCTGAACTCTTCAGCCATGATCATGCCTGTGAGCCTCTCAAGTCCGACTTGGCTGAGAGGCTAGGTCTGAGCAAGTGAGTGCCAACAGCCGTTTACTCAACAGGGCATTGTGTCGCTTCAAGTACACTATTATGTCTCCTTGCTTTTCAACAATTTCTTCTAGGCTTGAAATAGTCCTGCAAAAATAAATAAATAAATAAATAAATAAAGATATAAAACACCCATAAAAATGTTTTTCAATTAAGGAAGGAGTAACCCACAGTATCAAAAGCTTTGAGTGGAAGTTGAGCATGATGGCACATGCTTATAATCCCAGTGGCTCCAGAGGCTGAGGCAAGAGGATTACAAAAGTTCAAAGCCAGCCTCAGTAACATCGAGGCGCTGAGCAACTCAGTGAGACCCCGTCTCTAAATAAAACAAAATAGGGTTGAGATGTGGTTCAGTGGTTGAGTGCCCCAGAGTTCAATCTCCAGTACCAAAAACAAAAACAAAAACAAAAAAAAACAAAAAACAAAAAACTGGGATGTACTCAATGGATAAGTACCCCTGGGTTACAAAAAACAAACTTCCAGTGGACCAGGCATGGTGTCACGCACTTGTAATCCTAGCGATTCAGGAGGCTGAGCCAAGAGGATCACAATTTCGAGATCTGCCTAGATAATTCAGCCAAACCCTATCTCAAAAGAAAAAAATATTTTTTCAAATAAAAAATAATGGAAAAGAAAAGACCTCTGAGAGGTTGATACATGGTTAATCTCACTTTTATATCACACATATTTGGTAAATCTACATGTTAATTTAGACTTGGTTTGACTACAACTGAAAACAAACTAAACACATAATTAAAATGGTATAAAATGCCTAATCAAGCCTCAAATGGTTTCTAGGGAAAGCAACTTTTAATTCTTTTAAGTTTTAATTTCTCACTTAAACCTTACCTTAATCCGGTTTCCGAGGTAATATTGCTGTGGTAAGCATAGATTTTTTCTTCTTCAAGTACATCAGGCTGTGGTTTGGCTCTATTAAATTTTCTAATTTTCACTAAAAGAATAAAGTCATTATTATTCAAAAGTTCCTATTTTCATTTATTCAAATTACATGAATTGGCTGTTTTTCGCTGGTTTATTCATTAATGTTCTCAAACATTTCAAGTTCTACCAATCTGATACTAAGCACTGGAGAGAGAAGATTATTACTGGCTCTGATAATAACAACAGACGTTTACTGTGTACTCAATGCATGAGATACAGTTTAAGGACCTCATTTTGTTCAGATAATCACCTGGTGAAGTGGCTATTTTACTCCTATTTATACAAATGAGTAAAGTTCAGCCAGGCGTCTAAACTAGGAGTCCTGATACAGTCTTTACACTACTTTACAGCATCAGGACTACTTTAGAAAAGAGTCTCTTCGAATGTCCTTCTCTGGGCATTTCACAGACACAGAATCACGAGTTTTAAAAATAATTGGTTTTAGGCTGGGGATGTGGCTCAAGCGGTAGCGCGCTCGCCTGGCATGCGTGCGGCCTGGGTTCCATCCTCAGCACCACATACCAACAAAGATGTTGTGTCTGCCGAGAACTAAAAAATAAATATTAAAAATTCTCTCTCTCTCTCTCTCCTCTCTCTTAAAAAAAAAATAATTGGTTTCTTTTACTGGGGAAGTTTTCAAGGTTTATCCACATAGTGTACACATTCTGTTCAACTGTTCATCAGTTTACCCCCAAAACATTTGGGCTATGTCCACTTTTTGGCCATTACGTATAATGTTGCGTTGAACATTCACGTATGTGTGTTTGTGTGGACACACAATTCCAGTTCTCTTGGATATATACTTAGGAGTTAAGTGCTGAGCCACAGGGTAATCAATGTTTAATCCTTCCTTTGAGGAATTGCCAGACTCCACATCTGATCCTGAAGTACATTCTCAGCTGAGAACTAAGTTGAAGAAGTTCAAGTGAATTATTAACATGAGAAGATGAGATGTGCAGACAGTTTCCAGAAAGTACCAGTAAGGTACTTTGTACCTAGTCAATACTTTGTACCTAGTCAAAGGTACAAAGTATGGAAATATATAGAAGCCCCTCAATTTTATTAAGTGGCCCAGGAAATCAGAAATGAAGAATGCTTTGACTTAAGTGGAACTGGGCACAGAACATGAAGTGCTGCACCTGCCAAGCTGGAGAAGACAGAGACAGCCCTGAGGCCCCACCGATGACAGGTCTGGAGAACATTCAGCAAAGGAGAAAAGCACCGAAGGGTGGTCAGAAAACCTCCGGGAAAGTGAAAGTCTCAGCAAATGAACACGCTGCAAGGAGGCGTGATCAACTGTCCAGGGTCCCCAGAAGATCCAACAGATGAGGGCTGCTGGTGTGTCTGACACCAGTTGTTTATATTCATGTCTCTCTAAAATGGTTTCTTCCATATAATTTCTAAATAAAGAAAACTGGAACACATTCACCTTTTAGACACAGAAGTTTCTTGAACTGGGGACCAGGGATAATACTTACATAGTTTTAAAGGAGAAGTTTGGAATGGGAAATAAAACCTGTACCCATAGTCTGATGGCATACAAATATTCATTTTGCTAAGTGTGGTGGCCCACATCTATAATACCAGAGACTTGGGAAGCTGAGGCAGTAAGATTACAAATTCGAGATCAGCCTCAGCAACTCAGTAAGACCTTGTCTCAAAATATATTGAAAGAAAAAGACTGGGGATGTAGCTCAGTGGTAAAGCATTCCTGGGTTTGATCCCCAGTGCCTAAATAAGTAAATAAAATTAAAATGTCCATCTTTCAGAGTCACCTTGGCAGTTTGAAAAATAAAAATAAGTTAAATTGCCAAGCATGGTGGTGCACTTTGCAATCCCCAAGGGAGGAAGATTGCAAATTCAAGCAATTTAGTGAGGCCTAAAGCAACTTAGTGAGACCATCTCAAAATAAAAAATGAAGGGCTGGGGATGTGGCTCAAGCGGTAGTGCGCTCGCCTGGCATGCGTGTGACCGGGGTTCGATCCTCAGCACCACATACCAACAAAGATGTTGTGTCTGCCGAGAAATGAAAAATAAATATTAAAAATTCTCTCTCTCTCTCTCTCTCCTCTCTCACTCTCTTAAAAAAAAATAAAAAAATAAAAAATAAAAAATGAAAAGGGCTGGTGATGTAGCTCATTGGTAGAACAATTGCTTAGCATGTGCAAGGCCCTGGGTTCAATTCCCAGTACCACCACCGAATAAATTTTTTAAATAATAAAAAAGAAAAGCAATTGAATTGGATGTATTAGGGCATTTTCAGATCACAGGTTAGATAAAACACCAAGGCAAACCACATAGAATATCAATCTTCCAGTCATTTTTCCTGTCATGAGCCAGAGAAAGTATGTATGTTGGAACATCAGAGTAAAAAGACAGGTGGGCTTGCACACCATTCACATGTTCTTTGATCCTATACTGGAACTCTTACTTCAGGGCTGCTTGAAGGCTCAGAACTGTGGCTTGCATGGATTCTTCTTGCTTATGTTTAAATGAATGGAGAGTTAATCTAATTTATTATTGCAAAAAATGCTTTAAACTGTATTTTCCTAGTTTTTCCCTACAGAGGCAGTAAGTCAAATTAATGCTCAATGAGAAGAGTCCCTTTTTAGTTTCTGGAGATTAACAACCTACAATACAAATAAATTAGTCAAGTTTAGGGCAGAATTAGTACCTCAATCAATCAATGTCCTAAAGGGCTTCTACCAACATCACCACACCAGAGCTCTCTCTTAAAACCCTTTTACTATAAAGAAACAAGATGTCTTTATAAGAGAACCAACCTCAAATTTTCTGTGACATGCCACATACAGCAGCAAGTTGCTGAGGGCCATTACCAAGTAGGAATGATGCATCGAAATTTCCTTGCCAAGCGTACCCCATGCTGCTTAGAGGACATTTGATGGAACATTGCATGCATGCTTTAAT